TCCGTCAAATTCAAATGGATCAAAGATTATAATTTTATATGTGTTTCTGTTTCTGAATTCGCCATCTGGAGAAAGTGAAGCCACAAAATTAACGTTCGGGATGACTAAAATACCGTATGCCACAGTACGTGACATAGTTGTGAATGGTGTTCAAGAAAGATCGTGCGGAAAGATCGTGCGGTCCCAAAAATTCTGCTTGACATGCACTGTGCCGGGATAGTAAGATTGTGAAGCCTATCAGAAGAATATTGTTTTAACAATTACAACTTTACATAAAAGAGACTTTGCGCGCGTTCGTACGAGGAATTGGTTTTATTTCAAAATCATCAATAACAAACATGTTTTGATGGAATCAAGAAGAATTTCGGAATAGAGGACAAGATATTTGAGAAGAAATGTTCGTTGGATGTGTCAGTTTCGCGGGACAAACGCAGTATCATAATACATGCGGGCTCAAAAGCTGGTTGGGTTTTTACTTTTTGCATAGAAGCAAAACTTGACTACCACGAAAACATGACAGCAGACATCTTTCAAAAATTGTTTTCTGAAAAAACTAAGCAAACAGTGTAGTCGTTGCTTGAAAATGATATGAGTTTTGAAAATTCACACTCAAAGAAGGATTTATTGGAAGTTCTTAAAAATTCAAAGTTGGCCATGGAGCGGGGATTCAAAGATCCCCTGCAATTTTAATCCGATCACTGCAATTTTAATACGACTGATATGGGGACAGCTGAAACCGAGTTTAACCCTTTGCACTCGTATGTTGCGTCGTTGGCCGGTCTGTCATCCCCTAAGCTCATTTCTAATATTTCTAAATTGCTTTCTTGAACCTTCGTTGAGGACATATAAGCTGTATATATTTCAACCACTTCAGTTTACATGTGCACCATTTTTGCATTTTGAATATTACTCAGTTTTGGGTAAAGTAGTGACTATTAATTTTGTATGACGCGCCTGAAAATGATAGATTGGATAGTAATAATATTAGTGACTCTAGTAGTGGTAGAGATATTATATTTACAAAAAAATAGAGCACCGTACCCTTTACCCGCGAGTTCTAGCAGCAGTGAAGAAAACGAGAATATAACACAACCAAGTAATTTTGGTCCATGGCAGGACGTCGAATGCCACGATCAGGTACCAGACGGGATTCTATTTACTTCTGGGGATAAAATGGTAGGACCACAAATTCTTGATACTTGTACAAAACCCATAGATTTTTTCAAGCTCTGATTTATCGATGAACTAATAATAATAATAGTGGAACAAAGAAATATCTACGCTAGCACAGAAGAGGTTGTCAAAAAGTGGGTAGGAGAGTTTACCGCATTTATTTAATAATTTCCAAGAGCATAACATTTTAACGCCAAAATACCTATTTTTAGTAGCATATTTAGAGGAGAATGATTTTTACAAATTTTTTGGGTGCTCCACTTGCATGAAAACTTAGGGATCAAACTCAGAACGTCAGTCACTATTTCGATTATTTGGACAAGCAATTCAAAGAATATTTTGTTCCATTAAGAGAGATATCGGTAGACGAATCTGTTGTTTATATATATGTTTATTCATTTTTGCCGTACTAAGGAAGCTTGACATCGGAAGATTTAGTGAAACACGATTTACCTGTAGGAACAAGGGTAGTGTTAATCTGTGTCAATAATTATTATACAATAACCCAGGATGAAAAGGAATTTTTACGCCGATACGAGCTTTCCACTTGCAGAAGAATTGTTAAAACTAAATGTTGTTTGACAGGTACTATTCAAATCAACCGCAAATTTATACCTGATTCTATCAAAAAACCAACATTTGCGGAAGATAGCACATCTACATGCAGATCAGGTAATTTGATGTTATTGGGATATGTCAGGAACATAACCTATTAACAGAAGAGTACGTGGAGGTAACCGACAAGTTCTAAATAAGCCAAATGTAGCGGTCAATTACAATAAATTTATGGAAACTGCCCACGGCACAGACTTTTATTCAGCGTCACACTTTTTTCTGAGGAAGTCTTTGAAATGGTGGCGAAGGTTATTTTTCTGGGGACTCGAAATATTTAGTGAAAATGCATATTTATTATACAAAAATTTCAAAACAGGGCCACAACAAAAAACCAATGACACAGTTTGTTCGGGAATTGGTGGACGAGATGACAAAAAACTTTCGGCAGGGGTCCAAAATTTCTGGCAGACCATGATCTATCGATACAGAAGAGTGGCTAAATGGTAAATTACATATTTTACGCCAAAATGATGGGAAGAAAGAAGACTGTGCGGTATATTCTAACCGTAAAGTACAAGACAGCAGGCGTTAAACGGGGTATATTTATAACACTTGCCCCGTACACATTTGCGACTGCTTCGAACGGTACCAAATAGGATGTAATTTTTTTATGTTGTGTATGAATTGATTTAATAATAACCTTAGTGATTATGAAAATAATAATAAAATATTTTTTTAAAAATCCCATAGCTTTTATAACGCGATTTTTTTTAATTAAAAAAAATATATGTAATATGTAATTTATGTATGTATATATGTAATATGTAATTTTTTTATATTGTGTATGAAATGATTTAATAATAATGGTAGTGATTATGAAAATAATAATAAAATATTTTTTTAAAAATACCATAGTTTTTATAACGCGATTTTTTTTAATTTAAAAAAAATATATAAAAAAATCCGGGTAGACAGATAAAGATGAAAATAATAGTCCGAGTAGAGTGTACTCGCGAAAGAACATATATACGAGTGCAAAGGGTTAAGAGGAAACAACACCTCGCTGAAATTTAGAAATAAATAGAAGTGAAGTAGTATAAATATCTGCTTCTCTTTGGAAAAAATGTGTAGAACATGTCATCGAAGAAGAAAACATTTACAGAACGTTAGAGAACTAATTATTAATGTACGGGACGAATCCAATGACGATATAGAATAACTTTTTATCATCTTAGCGACGTGCCGTCGCGTCATTCATACACGTGGTATTTATTTCATAAAGACTACATTCATTTATATTTATAATAAACATTTTAAAGTAAGAATTGATTTTTTACTGCATGAACTAATAATAAACGAGGAATCTCACTGACGAAACTCTACACAAATCACTCAGATTTCTCTATTTGTATGCACGAAGTAGACAAGTACGGTTCTGGAACGTCATTGTGATATTGCGAATTTATTTATTTAGGGTTACAAAGAGAACCCAAGCGAGGTGCGGTGGTTAGACCTTCACAAAAATTTACTAAAGTTAAATACCGGATTATGTCGTAAAAACGGTACTCCGTTTGGAGAACTCTAGGGAGATATAAATAAAATAATATAAATATTCGAATCGGATACAGTTATACTTTGACCAAAATTATAGTGCTTTTAGAACCGACCCCGTAATTAACTTTGCCTACTGTTTATTACTCTAAAACTGCAGCCACTTATAGAACACCCTGCCGAGCAGACCCTTAGCCGTAACCATTCCAGGACCGTCCAAGAAATTCATATACTTAGACTAACAAGATTGCTTTCGAAAAATCGTCACTGGGCGGGGCAAGTTCGTAGCGTGTAGCGCGAAGCAGCTTTTTATTGCAAAAGGAAAGAACTTCGCGGTTTCGTGTGGTAAAGGGACGCATTGTGCTCTGCGGACCACTATGAAACTTTCGCAAAATCGATGTAATTTAATTGTGCATGCACTCTGTATAAAGTGTCCTTCACATCCCGTCGAACTTCAAAGTTACAGCAAACATCGGTAAACTTCAAAAATTTGCACAAATAGTAGCGTTGTCGAATGATATTTTTTCAAATATCTGGCGCCCTGTATAATTGGCGAAACCTGAAACTGTCTCACGACCCGGTTTACGATACTGTTCAAATAAAATGATCCCATCTTTAACGGTTTTTTTATTTATCGCCAATAATTTACCCATAAAAACAAAAATTTTTAAGGTGTTTTAGTTTTTTTGCCCATAAACACACCTTGTATATGATACAATCATTGTTCGAAGTAGAGGTTATAGCCCTGGATTTTCCACGTGTCCTGGTTCAAGAATTTTTTGAAAATAGTAAATGGTTTTCGAATAAATAAGTTTTTTCTGAAACCATAATCAATGACGTCATCGCGTCTTGAGAGCCCCCCAAATAACGATTTCAATATGGATTGTTTCAAATATCCCGAGCACCGTATGTAATAGACGAAAACCGCAAATACAAAAATTGTAGCTCTTGATGCGGTCTATAACACTGTTTGAACCTATTAGCCGTATTTTTTATGATTTTTGATTTGCTTCTAATAATTTAATCTGTAAAAAACAATTTTCTAGGTCTTAGATTTTTGCCTATAATTTGAAAACCCTGTATATGAATAGAACAAATACAAGAAGACACACAAGACAAAATTTATTATATTCAAACTTGCCTGTAAGATAAATAGAGTACAGTTACTTACCCTTACCCTCTGAACCATCCAGTGAAAACATTCTCGTAATATACGCAAACATATTGCGGTTTAGTGTGAACTCTTAAGAAGAAAATAAACGCTTCTGCTTATTCGAAAATACCCCGCAGTATCAATCCTTAATCAAATTTAAAACATTCAATTTCAAATAAAAATTTCAAGTTTCTACAAATATTCGTTACATAAACATCTGTTGGATGGATTTTATTACGCTTCGGTGAAGGTTGCGGTTGAGGTATGATCTGTTCATAGATATAAGAAAGTGACCAATTGCGTTTGAATGGGATTATCCAAAGGTGATCTAAACATACAATGCAACAAGATTATTACCTAAAGTCTCGGAATTTAAATTCAGATAAAACTGTGGTCCGTAATAGAAAATAATTTTAAAACTACCTGTGTTTAATATTCTACCATACCCATAAGGCCGAAGCAAATATGCATTATAATTTTGATCGACATGAAACCTTAAGCACGACCGAATATTCCGAGCCGAACATGTATGACAATGTCACTTAAAAAATTATTTTTAATTTTCCTGTGTCCGACAAGTTAATGTCGGACGGATAAAAATTAGTAATAGACTCATTTACTTTGCCCCCCGCCACGGAAATCTTTAGTAAAAGGCGAAAGATTTATTCGCTCTGACGGGAGACCAGAGTGACGAATTAAGAGTATCGTTGGTCAGTTATCCACGCAGGGTGGGAGCGAGGAAGCTACGTATACACCTAGCGACATCTGTGACCGATTGCTGAACTATTGTGGCTTATCCCTTTACCCCGGTTGACGACAATGGGAAACCAAAATGTTTGGACCGGAGATCTGTTTCGCGATAGATGGCGCCATCCGCACACACTTTTTTTGCAAAAATACCATCATATAGTAATGATGTGAAGTGCCTATAGACCATACTAAAATTGGTTTAATTGATGAGACAAAAAATTTGGAAACAGTAATCGTTAGTAATCTCAAACTCAAAGACTCAGTCCAACCATTCTGAAAAAGAGAGAAAGGGATTTGGCCATAATGTTCATAATGTTCAAATCAGGTTCGTATACCTAAATTGACGAATCTTTACTATGTATTTGCCAAACTGCACAGCACTTTCCTTGATAAGTAAATTGTATGTAGAACTATTATTTAACAGTCTTATTCTTTCCTTAAATATAATATTCTGTATAGTAAATACTGTTAAGTATATAAATGCCGTTCTTTTTAAAAAAATTAGTATTTATTCCGCAGTGTGGTATATGGTAAATATGCTTTTGGAAAAGTTAAATTTGACACCCTATGTATTGAAAACATAACTTTTAAGTGCAAAGCCACACTATTTTGCTCGAAAGAATATATGGGTAATGAATTGACCTATTTTCTCGTAAAAATATGAATTATTTCATGTTTGTTTTCATTAAGCACATAATTTTTCGATAGTGTATTGCATGGATTAATAATGCTTTAATCGTTTTAATCAATTAAGCCCCTTTTCAGTACTCGTTGATACTTCCTGTATGCAAGCATAATCGATATTTAACTTTAATATTGTGAAAAGAACTTCCGTGATTGAAAAAATTAATTAATATGGTCAAGCAAACGTTAGTTTGGGCTAAGCTCAAGGGATTTAAACAAAAAAAAAAGAGCAACTACCTTTAACTAGAGTTTTCTGTATATCATTTTTAAGGCAACCGTTAAATTGAGTGGTCTTGGCCAGGTTTCACGAATTTTCAATCCAGGTATTTAAACGATTATTTTCTAATCTGATAAATCATCATACATCACATACATCATACAAGGGCGAGGGAAAAATAAAACACCCGTGTAATTATATAAATATATAAAAACATTTAATAAGGAAACTACACGCTAACTCATGGCTTTAAATTCCTGACGATCCAGTCGACGTAGGTCGAGACCCTAGTGTAGACGGCGGGCCAGTTGGCCATCCCGCAGGGAGTCGGCCCAAACGAAACAATCCCTACCGAATACCAATTGATTTCTCCGTTCTCACTGTCCAGCGACATCAATGGCCCCCCGCTGTCACCTCTGCAGGAGTCTTCGCCCTTTTTACCGCCAGCGCAAAGCTGACCTTTTATCAGGCTGACTCCGGCCTGTCGGTAAGTTCGGTCGCATTCTTCTGACGTATTCACTGGGACCTTAATAGAAAGCGAAACGTTATATTGATGCGACAGAGACCCTTTGCTAATGATGTCATTTTCAAAGGACCACCCGTCAAGATATTCATTACTCTGATAAAAAATTTCACCAAATGATGAAGTATCCCGCCGGTTAAAACTTCCCACACTTTCAGTAGAAAACTAGCGCTAACCCTACCCCTACTAAATAATTTCGCAAAAAATTTTGAAAAAGTAATTTGCCATAAAATAAGCGCGTTTCTAGAAAAAAAAAATTAACTGCTAGTTAGCATGGCTTTAGAGAAGTGCACTCGACAGAAACCGCTACCAGAGCCTTTGTGCACAAAATATATGTGGTGTTTTACGGTTGATGGTACCTTAGACGTTTACGGCGTACGATATATTGGATTGTTCTGAAAAAGTATCATCAACATTGAAATTTATTATTTATTTATTTATTATTATATTATTCCATGTTCCGATCCACTAATACTATACTTATTGTTTTTGAATGATAGTTTCCTATATCTATCGTTAGTGGTTTTCTAGAAATTAGGGTTTTAAACAAACACCCTGTTTATATTCATATTCATGTTTATATTCACATTCATGTGTCATTTTCCCTATGCCTAAATCGTTTGGTTTCTGAAACAAAAGTTTCCCTGAAAACCGGATTACTTTGCCAAAATTCTTTTTTAGGTGGCCACGAAATATCCGTCTCGTCTTAAATAATTTTCCGTTTCACAGCTCAATAAGATTTACTAGATTTATTTACGGTTTTTTTATTGAATTGTTACTTAATGTTATACTATCTATCTAGATAGAATATTTAGATATCTGAGTGTCAATGTAGAGAAAATAAATAAACTAAGATAAATAAACAAATATACCAAATTTTTAAGACTGGAAGTGTATTAGAGTCTCCAATTAACTTTCCCCGATGCTAAAGAACAGTAACTACGTTTAAATCTTTAAATTTTTCCTTCTAGAAAGCTATTTTTTTACATTGAACGCATATTTTACTTATTAATGTTTGTCTTCACTGTATTTTTATTGTATAAAACATTAACATATTAATTTAATTAATTAATAATATTAATGTAATTCCCTATCTCACTTGCAGAGATATATTGTGTACTTATTTTTTACTGACTTAACGAACTCTATAATACACTATAATTGTATTTTACATATGTGGGATAATAAAGATATTGATATTATTAATTATGCTAAACCGATGGTATTCTCGCTGTTTTGCTAATTTATTGCCACCGAGTGTTTGCGCTCAGTACGAGTACTTTGGAGGATCATAACAATCGGTTATCCTTTTTTGAACTATGTGCTTGTAATATATTTTAACTATTTTTGATGATGACAGAATACCTACGAATCGTTTAATCCTGGTGTCAATAAACATAGCCTTAAATGATTATTTTTTGGGTACATCTTACTTATTGCATATTGTGTGATCCGTTTTTGGATTATAAATAAGTAATTATTCATTGACTTATTACGTAAGTATAATTAACTGTTTCTTAATGTATTCTTTAAATATTGTTTACTTTTCACAAAGATATTAAAAGAAAATTTAATTTTTTGCAAGATATAAATATTAGTTTTGCTTGGATTACATGTATGGTGTGTCACAAAGTATATTGTCTTGTCTTATGACTGACCCTTCCCCAACAAACACCACGTAACGCCACCACAAACACTAAGTAACACACAAATGTGGAAACAGAAAAGGTCCTGCTAGTTTAAGACGGAGTGTTGAGAACTTAAACACTTCAATACAGCAAATTTTATAAATTGACGATTCCTACATTTGCACAGAAAATAACATTGTAATTAATCTTAACGACACTAACCAAAACTGTGTACTTTGAGAAACACCATACATGTTTACCAACTAACCAAATTATTTTTTTAAAACGTTATAAGAGGCTAAATATTTTGAACTTTCAAGTATATGAATTATATTATATTATAATTATTATTTTATAAAAACATTATAAAGAAAATATCATGTGTTCATCAAATATTAATTTGTAACCAATTTCCATTTATATAAATGAGAAAGAAGAAGACAACAATATCAATTACTAGCCTTTTTCTAGGGTAAACTGTAACACACATAGAGAAGTATTACGCCGTTGCGGTTGCAATTTAGACGTAGTTACTGCTCGTACTTACTTCCAATTTCAATTTGACGTTGCTCTCCGACATGTTCTGAGTTTTACCCCATCCGGCCACCATCAGATTTTTTCTCGCGTAGCTCCTCTGCAGCAGCTGCTCGCTTCTGGGAAGACATATTGGTCTCACGTAATCTGAAAACGGTATTCGATTATAGATGACGTCCCTAAGTGACTAGAAAAACAACTACTGCATGGGAAAAAAAATGGAAAGATGCTTACGTAGCACCTTTCACAAAGGCTGCATCATTAAATTGTAATTTGAATTTTTCGAAATCATCTCCTTTTGCCTCCTTAAGCTACCGTAGGTATGGTCTGTTCATAGATATAAGAAAGTAACCAATTGCTTTTGAATGGGATTATCCAAGGGCGGCCATTAACATACAATGCAACAAGATTATTACCTAAAGTTTCGGAATTTAAATTCAGGTAAAATTGTGGTCCTTAAAAGAAAATAATGTTATACCTATCTGTGTTTAACATTCTTTGGTTTGGTATACTACTTAGTTTAAGTTTATTAGTAATCATTCTTATTTCGTGTGTTGAACCATGTGCGAATTATGCAAAATATGTGCGAGTCTAGTGTATCTCAGGAGATGCTCCCGCCCAAATATAGAAAACACTATTCAATTGAGACTAAGGAAGCTATAAACAATATTTATTTGACTCTCATTGAACGTGGTGCCAGCAAGCAAGCATCTTTAGAAGAGACGGCCACATTGACGAAAATTCCAACATCAACTGTATGGAAAATTGGGAATAATCCCATTTAAGCGAGGAAAAAAAGAAGCGATGCTGACATTTTCTCGAGTGCAGATGAAAGTGATCAAGATACAAATTTACCAGTTATACGAGGAACAAAGCGTGCCTATATTAGATATCTTCAATAGGAGGCTTGAAAAAGATGAAACCGGTGTTAAATGTGGCAGCACTACCTTATGGAAGTGTATTGAACACATGGATTTTAGATTTAAAAAAATTGACAAAAGGCAAGTTTTAATGGAATCTTGTAGAATTCGGAAATGGTGACTGGAATATCTAGAAAAAATTAGGATTTACAGAGAACAACAAAGGTCAATTATTTACTTGTATGAAACCTGGTTCGACACTTATGATACCCTGGAAAAGGGTTGGGTTGACTCAACTGATAAGTGTAAAACAAACGCGCCATCAAAAAGAGGTAAAAGAATAACTATTGTGCATGCTGACTTTAAAGATGGTTGGATTCCAAGTGAACTTTCTCTGTCTGCGAAAAATATTAAAGATTCTTCTCTGGATTACCATGAAGACACCACCGCTGATTTATTTGAAAATTGGCTTAAACACAAACTAGTTCCAAACATTCCTCCTAAAAGCGTAATTGTATTGGACAATGCAAGTTATCACAGTAGACAGTTGACTAAAACCCCTTCCTCATGTGACACAAAAGCAGCAATCCAAAATTACATGTATAATAACGACATTTATTTTCACGAAGACTATACCAAAAAGCAATTAATTGAGGTTCTACAAAGCTTGAACTTACAAAAGGAATACGTCTGTGATAATTATGCAAAAAATCTAGGGCATACAGTTTTAAGGCTTCCACCTTACCACTGCATATTTAATTCCATTGAACATGTTTGGCACCAACTGAAATCTGCCATTCGTCGTAACAATGTTTTTCCCCGTGTTAATTCCAATGTCCTCAAACTTATAGAAACGGAAGTTTTTAACATCCCTCCACAAAGTTGGGCAAATTTTGTTAAACATATAGAAAAAGCAGAACAATCGTATATCCATATTGCAAATAATATAGAACAAATAATAATTATAACAGGTGATGATAGCGATAGTGATACTGATATATTATGTGAATAATTTTAAGTCATTTAAGTAGGTAATAAAAATAATTTGTAATTTTATTTTAGATTTAAACATAAATACATACATAAATAAATAAATATTGTTTAGTATCTTTCCTAACATAACCCAAAATAATTAACTTCTAAGCAACGTACGGACTTGTTCCGCCATATTTCATTCTTACAGCTTGCCCGGGACTTTCTTTAATTCGTATTAATTAGTCACTTTCTTTTATCTATGAACAAACTTTCTGACATTTGCACTTATCCCATCCCATGTACGCAACATTCCTACCTGTAACAGTTATTTCCCGTGCCAACCGAAGCAAACCAATGTCGTGGTATTGGTTCAGGTCGAACGGATTGTATTGTTCGTGGGCTACCCATTCTTGAACGGGTACATCTATAGCTGGTGGGGCGCACTGTTCTCCTAACAGGCTCGGAATACAGTCGATGTCCGTATCTGTATCGTATTCGCCCAGCCTGACGCTTATTCTAGAAATTAAATGCTTTTAACCTTTCCCTCAATTATTTTCCCATTTAGGTAGTAAAGGAAATAGGAATAAGGCTGAAAATAGACTAAAATTGCCAATTCTTCAAAGAAACTTCCACAGGCTTCTGGATTCCTCCTGCGTCTGTTGCTGATAAATCAAACTTGCCGACGAACTTTTCTTTCATTCTACCCTGTAGTTGCTTATATATTGTTTGAAGAGAGCGGAGCTAAAGGAGGGACATGAACGTTGTCGCGGATGACAGATTCCCATGTTGGTGAATGATAAATACCTGAGTCGCGGATAAGACTATTATATATTAAATTATTTAGTATATTATATATTTCTATGGATCCTAGGATTTTTCTTTGGTAAAAGAATAACATTTATTGTGTTTGGCAACTGCTGATGTTAATATTTTTTGTTCTGTCTCTCCAAATTATTCTTTGCCACATATGCATGCAGTGCTGGTACCTCAAATCTAATTTTTATGAGAGTTTTGTACAATTAATAAATCTGGTTTGAACGTTATATTTCTTAAGAACTTTGATATGTAGTCAACGATGTAAGGAAGGACCACAGTGGTAAGTGTAGAGTTGCTTTCGGTTTTATTGTATTTGGAAGGTTGCGGCGAAGTGTGTGGAAAGTAATGTGGAAGTTATTAGGCCAAATAACTAAAGTATCATCAACGTAGCGTTTCCATAATTTTGGTTTAAATGGAAGGTTTCGAGGGCTTTCTTCTCAAATTTAACTTTTCCGTTGGAGATGCCAACATTCCATGCATGGCAAAGAATATATTGGAGAGAAAGGACGACAAATTTGAACTAGGTTAAAAGAACATCAAATTGTCTTAAGACTACGACAAACAAAATTCATCAGCAGTTGGCGAACACAATCATGAAACCGGACATAAAATCTTATTCAATAAAATTAAAATTCTTGCATGTAATCAATTTTTCTACCAAAGAAAAATCCATGAATCCACAGAAATCTATAAGCAACCTCAAACTCTTGACGGGAACCTTCGGCACTGCACTAACACACAATAACGCGTTTTACCACAAACCGAAACTCAATTTTACGTAGTCGACGCGCGTTTCGCCAACCAAGTTGGCATCTTCAGGAGAAGATTAAAACTAAACTTAATAGAACAAATGCTCCCTATATATATATACATATCGGGAAGTGGGAGAGGGAATTACGCACTGCTCACGCAACCAATCAGCGCGTATAATGGGCTAAATGGGATTGGACCTCTGTCCTTGTTCAGTGCCTGATTCCCTCTCTTAACAATTTCTAAGCTTTCGTAGGCATCTAATTTTTGACTATTATTTACATGTTTAATAAATTTTAAATTACTTATAACTACCTTATGATTATTGTGTAACATATGTTCGGCTACACTTGATTTTTCTAATCTACCAAATTTTAAATGTGTTAAGTGTTCCTTAAATCTAACATTAACTGATCTTTTGGTTTGCCCTACATATGACTTGTCACATTCGTTACAACATATTTCATAAATTCCCGACTTTTCAAGGGTATCTAGTTTATCCTTGGGATTACCCAAGAGATTTTTTAATTTTGATCCGGACTGATAGACCCTTCGAAGACCTGCGGCCCTGAAGACTCTATCAAGTCCACTTGTATATTGGGGAGAGAAAGGAATTGAGACTACTTTTAAATTTTGCTTATCAGCTTGAAAAGTCGTTGATTTTTGAAGTTTGTGTTTAAATCTAAATTTCCTAATTAACTTATCGATAAAACTATCTTCATAGTCATTGATTCTAGCCACCTTTTTTATAAGGCTTCTTTCCACCTCAAACCATTCTTGATTTAAAGGAAATGTGACAAGTCAATGGACTAGTAAATTAAAACTTGCCATTTTATGTTGAAAAGCATGGTTAGAATCATTGGTTTTAAATTTCCAAGTTCTGCAACCAACCACTTTGAAATATTATATGTTGGAGAACATCAAAAAGAAAGGTTTTCTGTAAAAAACTCGCAAGAGTTTATTGGTAAAATCAAAGACGTAAAGCTAAATGAACATGAACTTTTAATATCTTTTGATGTTTTCTCATTATTTCCAAGCGTTCCTATACCAGAAACTTTGGAATACCTCAGGAAATTACTCGAATATAATAACTAAAGTAAAGACATAATTGAAGAGCTAAAAAATAGGGAGGAACACCTACCTGTTGAAGCCAAATCTGGCACACAAGGATGTTTGGATTTGGGAAAGAATCTGCGGGAGTAGGGATTAAGTCATTTTGAAGAAATAGTAGATTTTGATCGAAGAAATGAGATAAAATATTTTTTTTATTTTGTGGATGTTGTGTATCATTTTCCCTCATCTATCGGGGATTATTTGTACTGCAATTTTGTTTGTTTATCGTATCGTTTAAACAAAATGGTAGCTTCATCAGTGTCTGATGATGGAAAAATGTATTTTTAAACGTTCCATATTTTGGCCGTTCACTCTCTAATGGAATATTTAGGAAAGGGTGAAAAAGTTAAAGCAAATTCCATAATTAGACTTACACTTTCCAATCTTTAGGCAAATCTTTTCCCTTGAGACAATGTGCCGCTGTCAGTACATACTTCCGGTTTATCAATGCGCCGCCGCAGTTGAAATCCGACTGGCCGTCAGCTAAAATTAACAAACGTCACCCTCATAAAAATTTGATACTTTTTAACTAAAAATGATAGTGGAGCAAAATGGAGAAAAACGTATTTTTACCTACGTCTTTGATATTCAATTAGAGCCATCCAAGGGAAATCGTCCAGTTTCGCCTTGGAGCCCCCGTAGATCTTATCATCTGTAGACAGGCCGCATTCGTTTGTCGTGGGTAGCAGACTGGACGATACTGGACCTGAGTGCATTCAAAAATAATTTAATTTAGTAATTAATTTAACAATTATAGAAGCTTATCAGGGGAGCAATAACCAAAAATGAAAAAATGTGATGGGATGAGAGAATGAGATATTTCTACAAATTCGAATAAATATTATAAAGTCTGTTCCTAGATATAAGAAAGTGACTAACTGATACGAATTAAGGAAAGACCCGGGCAAACTGTAAGAATTAAATATGGCCGAACAGGTCCGTACTTTGCTTAGAATTTAATTATTTGGGGTTTTGTTAGGACAGATACTAAACAATATTTATTAATTTATATATGTATTTATTAATTATTTTTATTACTTCCTTAAATTACTTAAAATTATTCACATAATATATCAGTATAACTACCGCTATCACCGCCTGTTTTAATTATTATTTGTTCTATATTATTTGCAATATGGATACACGATTGTTCTGCTTTTTCTATATGTTTAACAGAATTTGCCCAACTTTGTGGGGGGATGTTAAAAACTTCGGTTTCTATAAGTTTGAGTACATTGGAGTTAACGCGGGGAAAAATATTGTTACGACGAATGGCAGATTTCAGTTAGTGCCAAAACATGTTCAATGGGATTAAATATACAGTTCTACAAAACTGTATGCCCTAGATTTTTTGCATAATTAACACAGACGTAGGTTCAAGTTTTGTAGAACCTCAATTAATTTCTTTTTGTTATAATCTTCGTGAAAATAAATGTCGTTATTATACATGTAGTTTTGGATTGTTGCTTTTGTGTTACATGAGGAAGCAGTTTTAGTCAACTGTCTACTGTGATAACTTGCATTGTCCATTACAATGACGCTATAACGAGGAATGATTGAAACTAGTTTTTAAACCAACTTTCAAATAAATCAGCGGTGGTGTCTTCATGGTAATCCAGAAAAGAATCTTTAATATTTTTCGCAGACAGAGAAAGTCCATTTGGAATCCAACCATCTTTAGAGTCAGCATGCAAAATAGTTATTCTTTTACCTGTTTTTGATGGCGCGTTTGTTTTACACTTATTAGTTGAGTCCGGGGTATCATAAGTGTCGAACCAGGTTTCATCCAAGTAAATAAATGGCCTTTGTTGTTCTCTGTAAATTCTATTTTATCCTAGATATTCCAATCGCCATTTCCGAATTCTAAAAGATTCTATTAAAACTTGCCTTTTGTCAATTTTTTAAAATCTAAACCCCATGTGTTGAATACACTTCCATAAGGTAGATGTGCCACATTTAACACCGGTTTCATCTTTTTCAAGCGTCCTAATTAAGATATCTAATGGAGGAACGCTTTGTTCCTCGTATAACTGTTCAATTTTACGCCGTATTATATCTTGATCACTTTCATCTACACTCATCGCTTCTTTTTTTCCTCGCTGAAATGGGATTATTAACAATTTTCCATACAGTTGATGTTGGAATTTTCGTCAATGTTGCCGTTTCTTCTAAAGATGCTTCCTTGCTAGCACCACGTTCAAATAAACATTGTTTGTAACTTCCTTAGTCTCAATAGAGTAGTGTTTTCTACATTTGGGTGGGAGCATCTCCTTAGATACACCAGACTCGCACATGTTTTGCATAATTCGCACACGATTCAACACACGCTGTATTAGACACGAAATGAGAATGATTACTAATAAACTTAAACTAAGTAGTATACCAAACCAAAGAATGTTAAACACTGGCAGGTATAAAATTATTTTCTATTATGGACCACAATATTACCTGAATTTAAATTCCGAAACTTTAGGTAATAATCTTGTTACATTGTACATTAATGAACACCCTTGGATAATCCCATTCAAAAGCAATTGGTCACTTTCTTATATCTGTGAACAGACTATACCTAATTTATTATCTCAGACCAAAACAAATCCCAATAATCCTCGAAAACTATCATTTTTGGAAAACTTAAAACTTCATGATGATAATAATGATTCATACAAGTATTGATTATTTGTTGAATTTTTGTGTGGGGTTATTTATTAGTAGGAAAAGCCAAACAACAATTATGTCCTCTATTACATCTATAATTACACCCAAAACTCCAGCATACTCAATTATTTATAAGGGCAAGGAACGCGATTAAAACGAATTAGACTGCAATTAACTCAGCCACACGAAAAGACAACGTTTATCACTACCACATTCGTTGCTCTACCATGACATCGGTCTTAATTCGATGGCCCAAAACGATGTTACTATGGACCGCGATGTGGCCCAAAAAAAGACCGAATCTCTTCTATAAAGCAAGAGCTTTGTTTAATATATTCACCACGTTCATGTTGGTGACTGCGATGACCGTGCAAGTACTACACTGTCGACACGATTTTGTGAAGATGTCTAAAAGCCTTTACGTCCACATTACCGTGTTGGCTTCTTTGGCTAAACTATTGGTGTTCGTGATGAGAAAAAACGAGTTTCTTGAATGCCTAACGATTCTAGATGGTGAATATTTTAGCAGAAGTTGTGAAAAGAATCAGCAAATAGTTCAAAAGTCGGTAGAGCACGTTAAATGGACCATGAAGTTTTTTGGCCTCAACGTTCTATGTTCTGTCGTAATCCGATCGGTTTATCCAAGTTCGTAAGCACCGAGCAATTGTTCGCATCGAAGATTCAATTCTAGATTCTTCCAGTCATCGATGGTAGCACCTTGCCGCTTGAGTTTCCATACTTCAACGATGGACCGTTTCGATATCCTTTCTATATTTTCGAAACGGTCAGTCTGGTTCTCGTAGGATGTAACAACGTCGCGATGGATCTACTAATTTTCGGTATGATTCACACGGCTTCCGCGCAGCTAAAGGTGCTGAATAGCGATCTCGAAAATTTAAACGTAGTTGGAGACGGGGCAAACGACATCCACGTAGCCAGACGGTTAAACAGTTTTTGCCAGCGTTATGTTGTTATTGAAGAGTAAGTCAGTCAGTCGGTCAGGCAAAAACGGCACCATTAATCCATCCATAACTTTTTTGTCCCCACTCTGAAGAAAAATTTTTTTTATCAATATAGTCTTTATTTTTTGGTCAGACATATCATCAAGTACAGACTAAGTTTAATTCTGATGCTATGAGGCTTATATACAAGGCAACAGCGTGCACCCAAGACCAAGTCAGGTGCAGTCAAACACGAGGTTCACCAATCCAAGGAACTAGAGCACGATGCATGATAGATCCCAAATCATATAACCGTATACGGAAGAAATTGTGATGAAATAAAAAGCAGGCTTAGGTGGAAGATCACATATTCTACAAGACCGATAGAGCTTCCGTCAAAATTGGAGAAAGGCTTCGGATAGAACAAAAAAACTCAAATTTTTGAAAATAACAGTCCGAATGAACAAACACCAACAAAAAGATGAAGCTTACAATAACATATCTATCTTTGAGGAACCTTTCCAATATTGAGCAATGGACTTTACTTGGCCCTTGCTCCTCGAAAGACATCAATGTTAGGAATTATAAGCTCTATAGAGACCGTTACTACGGGAAGGACCCGAAACAGATGAACTGCGATGGAAAGTTTTTAAGAGAAGAATAAGAATGACGAATTTGAGCAAACGTCATCAATCAGAGACTAACAGTACAACAAAATCGAGGAGATAAATTCTAAATACAGAATACTTTCTAGTGATTCAACTAGGACGATTAAAGGAAGTATCTATCGAGCACTGTAGAAATCGAGACGCTTTATTCTTATTATAACTTCGTTAACACCGTATTATAAAACAGCAGCACATCTTTATGAACTCCCGAAAATCCTCAAAGATAATGTACTACTCAACGTGTCACCTGTTCCAGGGATTCCTCAACCAGCATCTTAAGTAGATTTGTCCTTTACCTTGTCCAATTACTTGTAGGAAATACTTCTTCATTTGTAAATAACTCCAGACATTTGGCCGATATTTTAGGTAATGTAAAATTATGACCTTCCGACAAATTTGATAGCTTGAACGTGGAATGTTTATGCATCAATGTGCCCTCGGAGGAATGGTTAGACATTGTCGAAGCCAGATTGAGGAATGATACAATACTTTCATTCACAACTCTGCAGTCGATAGTGCTGTCTGTATAATTCATACTTTCAAGTCAAAGATAAGTATAATCGCCTACCGATCGATTCCCCTCTCTCACGGTGGTGGTTAATATGTACATGGAATAGGGTCTGGCTTTGATATGTTGACAATACCTTCATCATTTGGAATGGAACCTCTAAGCAGCTAGATTATTTTCCCAATAATCTTAAATCTTTGCAACCATCTACTAAATTTCCCGTTAAGAAACAGAACGGCTCTATCGGCACCTTTGTATATAGGAAACCTACACATACCGGATAGTATTTACATTTTGAATCTAACCGGAGCAATCTAGCTAAGAACCATCCAAACACTCTTCGAAAAAGCACTATGCAGTGACGATTCGATGAAGAATTAATCAGTAATATCTAAGGATTTGTTTCATAATGGCCACACTGAAAACAATCTCATACGTGAAGGGAAAGTAAAGACTGTATTCAAGCCTGGGACGACATTAAAGAGCATACTTCCAAGAACAAAGTCAGAAACATCTATTTCGTGGAAATACCTACAATATAGCAGCCTTTAATATAGCTCGCTAGTATATAAGCGTATATAAGAATTAAAATTAGTCTGCACAATTTCTCGTCTCTTAGTATTTATACTAAATCATTGTCGACCTTCAAGAATAAACTATAGGAGGTGCAGAAAATAGAGAATCACCATTTTGTGATTTCTATAGGGATACTACTTGAATGAGTCTGAAAAAAATCTTTTTTCCCGTTATGTTCCTTTGACGTTCTTTTGTGACTTTCTGTTCAACTATTTCGGAAACATCGTTATCACCATTCTCTGCTAGGTACGTACAAAAGTTCCAAGGCGTCTTTGCTTGGGGCATATTCGTCGCAATGGCCGGAAGTGTACTGGCCATCTGCAATTCCGGATCACTTCTGCTGGACGTACGTTGT